TGCTTAATCAACAGGCCACTTAGAAATTCTATCCAGACTACTCACTTTCTTGATAAATGCTGCAATAATCAGGTCAGAGCTGGCACTGCATCGGCACATCTCAGTCGACATGTATGTATAGACTGCAATTATTCGACACAATAAGCACGCGACATGATAGGCAAAGGTACCTACCGCATATGCACATGTACATATATATGTATACATATATACATATATACATATATACATATATACATATATACATATATACATATATACATATATATATATATGCCATATATATATATGTAGATATATAACTTGTTTATTTGGAGCTTTCATTGCATGGAAGGCTCTGGAGAGGAGGAAGAGGAGGAGGAAGACTGACGAGCGATCAACGACGGCATCATTCATTGTAGAACGTAGGACTGGCCCTTCGGCTTTCAAAGCTGGAGATTTCACAACAAGTGCATTGGCAATTGGTACGGTTCTATACTTCAATATCAGTGGGTACAAGCTTCCAGTTCTTGCGCCTTTCGCGACAGCGGTGCTCACGGCTTCAAAAGCCACGCTCCGATGCGCGGAAGTGGATGCAAGGTCTATCCCGGAAGTGGTTGGCTGCTTCCATTTCTTCATTGTCAGCAACTAACTAACTACTTGTTACCACACCTCGTCGTATATAAGTTGGTTCCTTTCCCGCGAATTCTTTGGTTTCGTATGGAGACAGATACGCGGTCCTGCTAGTTGCAACATTCAGGACAACATAGGTGTGTGATGGAACCTTTCTTGCACACTGTTGCAGACTGGAGTTTGCCTGTTGAAGCTCTCACGCTGTTTGGTGTAGCTTACGAGCGGTGCACTCTACTTTCCACCCGATTGGGATGCCCAGAAGCAGGCAAGCTACACCAACAAACTTCCAGCAAGGGGTATTCGCATGGATGCAACCGCAACACAAGGAGGCATGATCCTTGTGCTATCTTCCATGCTTCCATACCAAGTTGCCAGTAGTGATTAGTTTCGTGCAATTTTCACCCGAGTAGCACGCGCAGTGCTGCTTGCGAAAATGGGCGCTGAGCCTGGTCTTTGTGTTTGATGATGCTTGATGTCGGGTTAGGAGCCTGTCCACCCGCACTGGCAATTGTGTAGCGCATTTTAAGGTTGTCCTTGCAGTCGTGCAAAAGACCCTGGGCATTGGCCCGAGTAAACCTTTCTCTTAAAAAGTACCGCTGAACCTTCTTCGGACCTTGAGCTTATTTGAACTGCCGGTGTGAGGTGTCGCTGGAGAAGAGCTTGTCCAGGCAGGAGCCTCACCAAGTCCACAGGTCAATTTATCTCCAGGAAACCTGTCATACGTAGGCAAGCAGACAGCCCTAAGCCTCGGAAGGCCATGAACACTTGGGCACAAAGACTTCGGAGCAAGTGGTTTCGGGCCAGTTTAGGGTGTAGGGCCCACGGCCTAGGGCACCATCACCTCGAAGTCAACAAGCCTATAACATAAACATGTGTGTATGTGTACATAGACACACACACATATGTATATGCACAAGCACAAATTTGGATACCCCTCCCTTCCCCGCATCCATGATCTACCGCCTCTTCTTTTGCTTCTTTAACTATTTTAACCACCAAAACTTGTGCAAAGCCCGGCGTGCTGCATGTATATAACCTTTATGTACGAAGGTTTTGTCGGCGGGGCTTTCACCGGAATGACTTGCGCCTTACAGTTGTTGTGTTTTTTCTCGGGTGTATGCTGTCTCCCAAATTCCCAAGGCCAACATACAAAGATCCAAAGAGCATGTATGCTGCTTTTTTCTTTTTGCGATCGAAAACCCAAAATTTGCAGAATTAGGGGATTTGGTTGTTGTTCTTTTGTCCAACTTCGATTCCTGAAAAGTAACCAAAACTCCTTTCTTCCCCAGCATGTAGGGAAACAAGAGAGTCTTCCAGTCCAAAACATCTCAAAATCACGATTCCCAACTCCTTTGCCCGCGGCTCGAGATCTGGAAGATTGAGCATGAGTTTCTAGAGTCAGCCAAATCCATTTCATTGCAAAGGAGGCCCAGAGACGGATTCTCAGAACTAAGTCGCCGTTGTACATTAAGTACTGTAGATACGAACACGGTCCAGTGGAGGAAAGCTCGGGCGTTGCCTGCCTGTAAAGTCTTTGATCTTAAAATACACACGAGGCCCCGAACTGGATGTACAGCAACGTCGACATCCGGAAAGACTGTGAGCAGATGTCTTTCACTACGCCTGCGGGTGGGCAGCGGTGCTTGTATACAGAATCACTATGTTCCCATTTCAATGTAGAATTACGAAACGAACAGGACCTGGAACAAGCTGCTCTGGAGCCTAGATGTGATATATGCATTGCACTGACCGACATCAATATCTGTGAGCAGACCTTTATTTAGATGTGCCGTGCCAGTCAGGAAGGCATTAAAGAAGAAATGGCCACCCCCATTTTCATGTTCCTTTTCGCCTTGTGATTTAGTGTTGCAAGGAATTCGCATGGTGCCGACCCCTCTTTCAGATTTGTTCCTGTGCCGGCCCTCCAGTAATTTGGACTGATTGGAAATGAAATGGAAGCCCCTCCTTACGGAACGCACTTCCATGCGCTTTCCTTTCTCATTAAACTAGCAAGAAATTAAAGAGGATCTGGCCACCCCGCAAGACCATGACTTTAAGTTTCATTTTTGTTTTGCAGAGAGTTGGCCATCCCCGGCGACATTGTTAAAAGCAAAAAACCCAGCAAAATCAGGCAGGCTTGGGGAGGAGTTTGTGGAAGGTTTGGAAGGCTTGCAGATGATGTAATTGTGTGAAGGAGGCCTATATAGAGGCGCCTGACCTCAAAGCTGTCCAGGTCGAAGCAAAATTGGTAAAGCTGTGGTTGATGTTAAGGATACCGCTCGGTCAGGGCAAGCCGCACAGGGGTGTACTGTAAATTTCAGGACCCGTGTTCTCAGTCATCGGTGTAGTTCAGTGCACAAAACAGGATCCGTACGTTTCCGCTCGGTCCCCCAGTGAGCCTCCGAGGGCCCCAGATAATTACTGCCCTAAACCGACTTCCAGCGTTGTGCTTGTCAGTCGAGTTCCTTCGCGGGCCCAGGCCTGTAGAGAACTCGGAGGAAGCAGCTGAAGGCACGGACCCGTTGCTGAACCCAGGCCCACTTGTTGCACAATGAGAGAACAAATGGTCATGGCGAAAGGGTCAGCCGGTCTTTGAGTCCGAGAGTCAGGGACATGAGTGACTCTCAGTGACTCAAGTGTACTGCTCCAAAGAAAGACAAGGACAGTTCCTTGGCAAGAGGCTCCCTGATCCAGGTAGCTGCACATCATGATGCCCCACAGGCGGTCATTCACCGGCAACGCAAGAAACGATCAGCGTCAGAGCGTAGACTCCTTTGATTTGTACCGACATGTCACAGCACCAGCTGCAGGGTACTGAATCGAAGCAGGGAGCGACTAGTTTCGCGCGAGCTCTCTCTCGCCTTATAGTTTGCTCAAATTGCTCAAATGACGGTACTGTGTTCCGATATTCAAATGGAACAACAAGAGCGTAGTCCGGATCTTTGCCAAGCAGCCGACAGCCGGCTTTGTTTGACCCATAAGGCACACGGTTATTAACGTGCATATATGTATATTATATATATATATACACACAGAGAGAGGGAGAGATACACATGTTGCCTGCTCGCTTAGCAGAACAGCAAGATGTGAGCAAGTCGACTGACCCGAATCGAATACTCCACCCCGGGTCCTTGGAATGTTTGTGCTTGCCAATTCGGAAGGTAAAGTAGGGCTATCTGGCAAAGATTTTCTTGCCACTCATCACAGACCCTGACTCCTGGTTTGATCGAAACTTGTTGCGAGGCGAGCAAGACGATGAGGAGAAGGACTAGTCTTCTGCTAGGGCTGCTCCGCCCACTGGACAAGTGGTGCTGAAATCGGGCCAAGGGCGTAGCGTGTTCATTGTTCTTTCGTAGTGTTTTTCAAGCCTTGGAACATCTTGGGCCAGATTTCAGTGTCCATCAAAGTGGGCGGGCGTGTACTTGATGAACCTGTTCAGCCAGGAGCTCAGTGGGCAGGGGCTGCATGACAGCTGCATGACAGCTGCATGACAGCTGCATTTCCGTCAACAAATTTGTTCTGGCTTCACAGGGAAATCTCCGAAGCCGGAGTTTTTGGGAAACATCGGCAAACCACCAAAGCCCCAAGTCTCCTCGAATTCCCCCGTGGATCCCCTGACAGACCGAGTCTCATCGCAGCTCATACGGAAGCCACGATCGATACGATCAAGAATAAGGGATCTCTGGCCACATCCAAAAGTCAAGGTGTAGAAAGAGTTTGAACTGGCCGAGGTCTCACGGACAACGATCCAGCGACATCGGCCGCCAACGAGTTGCAAAACAGTGCTTGCTTGGGTAAGTAAGCCGTTTCACTCGGGAAATGGTGACAGGCTGACTTGAGCAGCCACTTGAAATACATACCGTACGTACAATCCACAGAGAGCACAGTATATGCAGGTGCAGTCTGCGCATTAAATTTCTCAGGGTCACAACAGAAGTGAATCGCGGGATTCGGGCTGTGTGCCATATGGGAAACCTGAGAGATGCAAGTCTTAGAATTCGTGAAATTTGCACTGGGGCTACTGAGTTACTGCCTATTGCCGATTGCGCAGGAGGACGCACCTTTTGCTCCAAGGCGTTTGGTCATACCAGGGAGGCATGCTTTCCTAAGTTACCCATGCCTCTCGTATCACCTACACTTGTGAGTGGCTGTACAGTGATCCCCCTAAGTACAGACGACCAAGTCTCGCCGAAAACGCTTTCGCGCAAGCATGAGCCCAAGCCCCCAAGTTCCCCAACCAGAAGCCCATTCTATCGTATGCGCATTGTTAAACCATGTGCCACCACCCTGCGGGCCACTGGACTATGCATCGAGATTTACCAGCATAGGCAGCATTGGTGTGCCTCAGTGTGAACGTCTATGGCCAGACAACCGAGCCGCGAGTCGCCATGGAAGATGAGTTCACGCAGCTGCAGGCACTCTGGAGCCAGTGTCTGTAGAGGGTTGTGACTTGATGGTTGGTGTGCATCTAAACAGAGCCCATATCCAAGACACAGCCGATCACAGCCGCAGGCCACGGCTTCAAAATTCGACATTGCAATCAAGAAGGAACCCTCCAAAGCCCCACACCCCGCACCACCCCAGCGCCAGCACCCCTGAAAGAAGGCGATCCTGGCGGGGCTTCCCATGCACGCCGTGCCCTCCAGCTCCTCAAGAAGCGTGGTTCTGAGAGTGGCAAAAGGGGCTCAGCAGGAACTGGGGCCCGTGGGCCTTTATTGGTGGCGTGTGTGTTGTAGTCTAGTCCAAGCATGCCTGAGCAAGGTCTGCCTAAGGGATGTTCTATGATGTTCAGAAAAGGCGCAGCTGCATGTCTCCCGTACAGTTTCGTAATGTTGCGGCTGAATGGTTTCGGAGCCTTTCGGGCGATCGCAAGGGCGTGGGCTCTACCTGACTCAGGCCAGGCACCACAGCACCCATGGCAGAACATGAGCACACGTGTAAAGCCATCGCAAAGCCATCATCCCTCTGCAATCCTTAAACCCAAAACAACCAAACCCAGCAAAACTTCAATCCGAAAGCTCCTAAAGCCCCAATGCAGGAGCTCAGCGACCCCAATGTCAGAGCCGACAACCGAATACCTAGAGTCTACCTAGAGCGCAGATAGAGCGCGGACCAGCTGATGAAGACACGGAGAAAAAATTCGAAGACCCGACAACCAACGGAGGTTGCGGACCTGAGGCATGGATGCGCCGAACTCAGTACTCATCGATGGACGTAAGCATGATGTAAGCATGTGTACACATGTGTAAGTCTCAAGCTTCAGGCCTGGCTACCGTTAGAGATCACGACCCTAGAGAATCTTTGGGAGAGCACATGCCCACCTTCCGTCCGATGAACGTGCATCGGGTATGATCCTGCTAGGACGCCTGCCCCCGGTCCCCAACTCCGCCTCCCCCCAAGCATCCTCTCAGAAAGCCCCGAATTCGGGACCATGGAAGTGCCTTGTGAGGCAGTGCGGCGGGAAGCGCAGACCTGGCCCTTGTCAGGAGGCCTCTGAGATACATTGAGTTTGCTTGTGGGCTTCAGACAGGAGACGCCACCACCAAGAGAGCTTGAGGAGGTTTGCTTTGACATGTATGTACACGTCCTATACAGATCTACAGCAGCAGCGCTGCACAAGAAATGTCTGATTTGGATCTGGGCACCCTCGTTTTGGATCGTTTTGGTATGAAACAGCACAGACGCTAAAGAACTTGGACCTGAAGACCTGCAGCCTCTCCGAAGCAAACGAAGCAAACTCCGGCACAAGGCCAATGAGAAGTCTCCTTCTGCGGCCCATCGCGTTGAGGCTCTTGGGGGCGTTTTTGTGAAGATTTTGTTTGCGAGGCTCTGAAAGCTTGATTGAAACACGTGCTCTTGGATGCTGAGACGTCGGGTTTCGGTTTGCCTCCACGATGTCCGCGCCTCTGAAATCAAAGCGAAGCTGCGTGAGGCCATGCTGGCAGCGGTCGCTGCAGACTACCCGGCCCACGAGGATCGATCTTGTTGTCGCTTGGTGCTGTCACGGTATGGCTTACTTTTCTGATCAATTTAGCCCTTACTAAGTCGTGGGCCTTCCCACCTCTCTACCGCTCAACTCACAAACGCGGGAGTGACAAAAGAACCTTCGAGACAAGGCACTGGCCTACGATAATAAGGAATCGGTTTTAATAGGATTGGGATGTGCTCCATTAGCAGAAGCCTCTTGAGCCGGAATGACGGGCTCCATTTGCATGTGCCCTCCGATAAGGAATGCGTCGGATCAAGAAGAACCCACCAGTCGAGCACCTGTCGTACAGCGAACCACCGAAGTCATCACGATCTCTTGTCGATCGCTGCCCACATTCGGGGGGAGCAACAAGAGTGGTCGTAACATGGAGCGGTCACAATGGAAAAGTCGCTGTTGTTGCTAACTCCCTCTAGAGGCTCGAGGCCAATATATATATATATATGTACATGCAAGCAAAAGACATACCCCTATCACAATGGCCTCTCATAAGCACAGGTTCCTTTCACCACGCATGTGCTTGGAGCAGCGGTTCCAAGGGCAGGGAGGTGTTTGTTATGACTTCTTCAGTTGTTTTAGATGGGAACGGTCAGCTTCTGAAACATGCTTTTTTGCAGCGGTTCAATGGGGATGTTGGGACTTTCTCGTGTCTCTGTCGTTAAGGCGTTGCGGGCGGTTCAATGGGGCTTGGCTTGCCGAATCGTTTTTGTTATGACTTCGGTGTATGCCTGTACTGCACCAAACACACCCACCCACCGAGACGCACCAGACCGCGACACATACCTGCAACACAGAATCTCGCACCTCTCAAATATTCTCAAATACAGTACTGTTTTGCAGTGCAGTCCCGCTATAAACCTCAAGAAGTCGACTCACTTCGTACCTCATGCCACCTCACGCCATCTCACACCACCCACCGCCGCACCACCCACCACAACAAATGAATTTCCGGAACGATGCCAGCCCATTCAAGAGCCCGCAACGCAGAACACGGCGGAGATGAACCCCCCTTAAGACCCTTAAACCATCTTAAACACCCCGAACGTCCCCGGACCATTCAGGCAGCCTTGGTGCGTCTTGGAGGGGCTTAGGTCTTGGACTTAGGGAGCAAAATGTTGAACATGCATTTGGCTGCGCGATAGAAATGATATAAACGACGACGGTGACATGTACAACGAGAGGTGCGCACAACGCCTAAGCCAGCGCATCCGTGCCCGAAGGAATCACCGAGAGTGTCATCGATCTCGAGACAGAACAACCCCACGACCCACAGCGCAAGCACTGCTTGCAAGAAGAAGATGGTCCGTAAAAATCATCGCCTTTCAACGGAAGCAAAGAGTGTGGTCAATCGCAGAGGCGAAGAAGGGTTGCTCGTCAGCAACCTAGAGGCATGAAGAGTTGTCTTACTCAATAAAGAGAAATTGAGGTCAAGGCAACCGGGCCCAAAAAGTGAGCAAAAACCCCAGAGAAGAGGCGCAACGTAAACCTGCATCCACAAGCCCAAGTAGTGACCCAGAGGTGACCCAGCATTCCGCGCAGGTTCCCAAAAGTAGCTCCGTTGAAATCCGACATTCAAGATCCACCCTATAGGCTAGATTGGTTGGATGGCGCTTTTCCCAGGAAGTCCTCCGGCGCCTTAGTGTCGAAGCAGCCAGCGGAGGGCTGAACTCATGAATTAATTACGGGGTTTAAGGCTAAGGGTTTTTCGGGCTCAGGATTCAAGGGGTTAATTTAGGCATATTTAGGTTATAACTGGTTGTTAGGATTAAATGTTCGGGTTTTGTGGGTTTGGGGGTTTGGGATTTCGGCTGCCTTATTAGGCCTAAGACTGGGCCATGTCAAGTCCAGAACATGAGATTTTATTTGGAGGTTCATCATGTACAAAGGTTCCTTGGGGGCCATACCGGCTACCTATAAATATATACGCACATACATGTATATATATATATATATATTTGTATTCGAACTGCTCGTATGGATGATGAGTGCCAGGTTCCTTGAGCCAAGTAGCACGGCAGTTCCTCCTGTAGCGATGGGTTGTCGACTGTTTTCACTTGAAAGTGATGTTAGGGGTCAAAGTCTGTTGCTGCTCCACTCAGCAGCAAAAGGAGGCACCCAACTTGACGGTACTCCAGTCCTACATCGTTCGCCAAGTCACCGAGGCCTTGATCTTGTTTGCTTCGCAGACCATGCAGCCGCCCAGCTGTTTGTGGCCGTCCGGGGTGCGCCAAAGCGGGTCGATCCTGGATTCAACCGAAAACCTTTCTGGTAGGGTTTGCTTTGGCGGACGGCCTCCTTATCCCCCTGAAAATGATCAAGTTGATCGGATCTTACGCCTACTTACCTTTGAAACGTGCTGTCGAAGGGACCTTGAATCTTATTCCCCCAGAAAAACCCCATGTTTTTTCCATATATAGTCCCTATATACCTAAGTCGCCCCTAACCATCCCCTAAGATCCCTTAGTCCCTTGATCATGGGAAGTCTGCCACGCCTGTCAGCAGATCAGCTCATCAACAGCGGAGCTTGATCTGCGAAACGGGAAGCAGAAGGCTATTGACTGACAGGCCCTTGTACAAGCAGGTTAGTTCACTCTCTGCAGTTGTAGAGGTGTTTGCAGGGCGGCTTCTCCGGGATTTTCACCCCAATGGCCTTTTGCCCAAAACACCCTTCAGCTCCTGCTGTAGGAGTCTCTCGTCGAGCACCCAGCACCAAGCCCAAGGCAAAGGATCATAAAGCTGAAAATCAACAAGCTCACTCAGGCTCACTCTCACTCGCCCCAACCCAAAGACTGACCGAGATGTCAACGAGCAATGGGAAGGTACGCATCGAAACATGAACCTCCTCACCACCCCGGATGCATCTGGTCTGCAAAAAAGGATTGCGTAGGTTGAGGGGTGGGTGCTCCACCCCTCAACCTTCACGAAAGATGAGTGAGGCTGTGAGGCCTTGTTCGAGTGTCCTTTGCGATTCAAGTTTAGAGGGTCTGGTGAAGTGGCTTCTGGAAATTGTGTGGCCATGGCTTTTGCCGGTGGACCTCTTCGATTAAGCCCAGATGATTGCAATTAGAGGGCTGGCTGAGCGTAGGGCATGACAAGGAAGCCTGCCCCTCTTTAGTTACAGCAGGGATGCTGATGGTGAACTAGTTAGAGTATACCTTGCCTATTTAGGCTAATAATGCCACCGCCAACCCATTAGATGATCATTCCTAGGGTCCCCCCTACATTTCACTGATATATCACTACTACTTCCCCCATTAGATGATTATTCCTAGGTTCCCCCCGACATTTCACTGATATATCACTACTACTTCCCCCATTAGATGATTATTCCTAGGTTCCCCCCTACATTTCACCGATATATCACTACTACTTCCCCATTATCAATACAATTCTAGGAATAACCATTACCCCATCTATTATCTCTAAGGTGGCATCATTAGCCTAAATAGGCAAGGTGTTTCTCGTAGAATTTGGTTCAGGGTTTGGGGTTGCGGCGAGCCTGGGATTGATTCTTTCTTTTCGCCGCTTTTTGCTGCAGCTTGCAGGTTCGAATCAGGCGACGAATCAGGTAGCGGGATCATGCTTGTCATCGGGCATGTGAAGCCCATAGACAATCCCTTAACAACAGCCTGGGCTAACACTCCAAAATTTCTGAGCAAGTGAAGTGCGGTGAGGGTTTGTGCTCACTGGTGCGAGTTTCCATGGCTGACGGCCCTGCGCAAAGCGGGCCTCTGCCACCCGCAGAATCTTGGTGGGTGCTAGTCAAGAATGCTGGTGATGAATTCAGGGTTCAGCGCCAAGACCTACCTGACCGCCCAACGGTGTCTGACCTCTTGCAGACAGCGCTCGCCGTGTCAAATGTGGGAGTACCATTGCCCAGGCTGAAGTTGTACAAGCACGAGAATCTAGGAACCCCAGTGGTGCCCTTTCACCGTTTTGGGTTCTGGGTTCTTTAAAAAACATACCAACAGAAAGTACCCTTTTGATACGGCTACTGGGATACCTAGGAATGCTCGTGGCCAAGGTGAACAGCAGCTTGCTCCCCGAACCTTGCTCGATGAAATCTGCACAGGTAGTGATGCACCCCCTCTCTTTGTCGACTATGAGGGCATGCCAACCACGGCATCACAAGCCCCTCGTCAAGATTTCCATCCAAGGGGTCCCTTTCGTTAGGCATCCCTGCTTAGCCCTGCTTGCTGGCCTCCCCAAACGATTCACGCTCAAACCGTAAGACTCATACGTCGTGTGCCCGAGGCAGAGCAGCAGATCATGAGTGGCATCAGGGACTTGGCTGCCGAAGTGCGAGCCAATCGGGAGGAAGTGCAAAATGTGCTGCAACTCATGGCTCGTGCGCTGTTTGGATTTCGGCCAACAAGCAGCGCGACTTTCGACCCGACTTGGGAGACCAGACTTAGCGAGTACTACAACACCACGTCATGCATGATCTTGGGCCAACTCTTTCCAGAGCGTTTGAAGCCAGATCGGTATCATGGGCTTGGCCCGGACTACTTTGTGCCGGTCGGGGAGCACATGCACAAGAAGGTGCAGGAGCTTGCAGGCTACGAGCTGGGCATTGACACGACGCATCCACGCAACGGGCTGTTGATAGTAAAATCTCTGGAGAAAATGTTTCAGGAAGCTCACATGGTTCTAGTCCCCACAGTGTCGGAGGAGGATGTCAGTGAGACGGACTGCCCAGATTCAGGTGATTCACCAACAGAGCAGGTCAAGCTAGAAATCCTCATTGCTAAAGAGTTCCTCGGGCAGGACGTGCTCTGGATAGACAAGCGAAGACATACAACAGCTCCGTTTCAGCGACCGATTCTGCAGGGCAAAGGAGGAAGCATCAAGGGACCGCGGCCTGTGCAGCCCATCAAGTTCACAGATTTGCACGCGAAGCAAATCACGATCCGGAAGCCCAACATGGCAAGTCTTTACATGCAAGCGATCTATGCCAACCACCGACATTCAGAGCTTCCTCACCCGGATGACCAAGAGCTTCTTCCGAAGTATCGCAAGAGATGCCCGAAGGGCATGGAACGGCTCATGATACGAATGTGTCTGCTCAGCTCTTGTTCAGAGAGGCCCGTGTTGACACAAGATGAAGCCTTTTCAGGAAATCTGTGAGGTTTCGTCTCGCTGCGCAAGGCAGTAAGTTGGCTTCTAGGGCTGCTGGTAGGGAAAGCATATGCTGGAACGTTTGCCTGCAAAAGTGCATTTCGGAAGGAGATTGCATTTGGCAAACTTCTTATCGTCAGGCCTGGGAGATAGTGCTTTGCAAGTCCCAAAAAGATATGGCCTTGGAGGGAGTGCGTTGAAACCACTTGTAGGGTTTGGCTGCAGGCAAGTCAGGTACCATAGGGTAGACAGGAGCCCTGAAATTCATGCGCATGGTCCCACCAAACTCTACGGGACACCCCCGTCAAATTCTGCGGGGCAGTCCCGTGCGTCTGCAAACGCAGGAAAGACAAGTGACAACAAAAACCTTGGAAACACCGTTTACCAAAAAACACGCAGTAAACAAAACACATAGTAGCCAACATAACAACTACAAGTTATGAGTAACTCAAACCTCGGGGTATGGGATGGTTACAGCCATAACATTAAAGGTGTTAATGTTATGTGTGTTTATCTAAACTAGATTTTTGTCACTTTGATCAAATCACAAGATGTAGCACGTACATTCATATGCTCTTCGTTCAGTTTTGACTTTTTCTTTATCCCTGCAATACATAATATCATCTAGCATTTTTGCAAACAGTCGGTATCTCGTATCAGCTTATCAACGTCATATAAGAAACACAACTCGTTAGTTCCAGCCGCTCTTCTAATACTTTTCGCATGTTGCGCACCGTTACGCAAAGCCGTAGACTTTAGCAAGGGTGTTTTCGGGCAGTGGCAACTCGTATAGTGTGCAGCAGCGATCATGTTTCTACAATCCTTGCATTTTCAATTACCTCTTTTGCCTGCGCAGTCGCCAGCCGCAACAACATCCAAGAAACAATTATTGATTTCTTCCTGTTCTTTTCGGTGAACATCGCACTATGAATATCTAAGTGTTGTCTCAAGGAAATTGTTTTCAAATCAACAACTCAAATCGCAAATGAGCCCTATCAATACCTTCAACAGAATAATCTTTTTGACCCAGCTTTTCATCAATTTTTTCTATGGTATAAACATTTTGCGACCAATTTGATACACGTTCTTTTTCATTGGGTTCCTCTTCCTAAATATTTTAACTTCATCCCCGACACCTAGGTCAGGATAGACCCGGTTTCGTTTAGCATTCATATTTAAATGCAGTTTAACTTTTAATTCGTTGCTCGGTTTTCTGGCATCCTTTGGGGTGAAACCAGTAGCGGAATGTTTCATTTTATTATTGTATGTTAATAATATTTCAAAAATATAGTCTGTCCATTGAATATTATCTTTAGCCTTTTTCGGATCGGCTTCAACACGACGATATAATAAATCTTTGAACGTCCTAATAGCTCTCTCGCTAAAATTTGGATGCGCCCTAGTCCTGTGATGTTCTATGTTCTGTTCCTGTAAATACTTTTGTATTGCCTCCTTGTTCATTGCTCCCTCGTCGTCTGTATAAATTATTTTTGGCTTCTTTTCCATTTTATGTCAGCATTCAATCATCCCACTCGCTAAATCTTCTTCCTTCTTACCTTTGATTGCCACGACACGCATAAACTTATCAAAAATATCAATCATTAACATCCCTACTCTAAATTTTTGATCTTCCAAATCATTCAAAAAATAAGTCCATCTGACACTCGTATGCTGAATGGGGGGCGACAAAGCTGTTTGAACCGACGGGCTTACGCTTTTGATCAACATTCTTCCTAAAAAACTCGTTAATATCAGACATTGTGATGGTTTTGTCTTTCTCCCGTGCTTCTTCTAAAGTCCGGCTTTTTGAGCCAAACCCCGCGCGATCAAAATATACATCATTAAAGGTTTTTTTGTTTCTCACTCATATAAAAACAAAAGACAATAATGATTTAATAACTAAATTAAATCATCATTCGTCATCCATCGCCTTTATGATCTTGAACTTGCTCATATCATATTTGGGTGTGCCGCGCTTTGCTTTAAAAGTCTTTTTTGCATTCATTATTTCAGATAGCAATTCTTCTGTCAACTCATCGGGGTTCAGTTTGATATTGTTAGCTTCTTCATACTCCTTGATCTTCTTTCTCTGATTGTGTCGTAGTGCAGATTCTCGTTTCTTTTGCATATATGTTTCATCATTCCTGCGCTTGTTGTAGTACAATCTGCTGTATATGGCGAGTTGCTCTTTGATTTCATCCATTGTCATATCCTCGGGGTTTTTACTCATATTATTCTATACTATATATAAATTTTTTCTTTAGACATATTTCTATACATTAAAAAACATTTAATATTTTAAAAAAAATCTTTGGAAAATTACACTTAAAGATTTAATAATATATAGTTTAATTATATTAGTATATGTCCAAAGCCATTACGCGTAATACAGAAGCACTACAAACATTTTATAACAACAGAAGAAACCGCATCAACCAAGCCACCAGAACAAAAGTTCAAAATATAATTAACTTATATTCAGATCGTAAGATCGCCCAATTCACCACAGCAGACAATTTAATTAGGAAACTCACCACCGCAAAAAACAGACAAAGAAAAATCTAAAGCAGAAAACGAATATAATAAAATATACGACAAGCACAAGGATAAAGAACAACTAGGTCAGAGAATGACCCAAGCAAAAGAAGACAACAAACGAACGGGAAGAACCAACCCGAGGAAGCCAAGAAAATATTCAATCAATGTCCATTTATACCAGCTGAAGGCAGAATCACACCA